TCATGAATTTTGTTTGGTTAAATAAATACATAGAATTGATAGTTCGTAAACGAGAAACAAAATACAAAGTACAATATTGCTGAAAATACGAGATGTCTTGATGAATTCGTATTAATTATCAATTATTTAATATTGAGCTAAATTAATAAATTTCCTTGGTCCCATAGGTAATAACTTAAAGGAAGTTTAATTTTATGCGGAACCAATTATGTATTTATCGAATTATGTATTTTCTCCCATTTAGCTAATGGGAGAAAGTAAATTTGTTTAGGTAATGGCACGCATAGTAGACTGGTATGTGCGTAATATGTGTAGCTAATGGGAGAAAGTAAATTTGTATAAGTGTGATAAAACTCAACATCTAAATCTTTCCCTATGAGGAAAAAATCCTTAGTTTTTCTCTGTTAATCGCTGAAGTTTCATAGCGCACGCACGCACATCAATTGATCCATTCAATCTGATTTCATCTTTCATCCCGCACTCAGTTTTCTGTATCTGTATTTATATATTGCCTCTAATTTATAAGTATAAAATGTTTGACTGTTTTCTTTCTTTGATCAGCATGAACAAAATCCTCGAGCGGTACCGTCAAAGTTGCTATTCCTCACAGGACAATGTTGCTGACAATGAAACACAGGTATATTTCATAATTTCCGAGCTTTATCACAATTCTATTTGCATTTCTGTGTTTGTATGTGCTGATGGTGGTATGAGCGTCTACTGACTGAGTTATACAACCTATATGTTCAATCGGTCTTGTTTGCTTTATCGTTTCTTCATCTCTTCCACTTCACCTTTTTTTTCGTTTCTCTAGTTCTAGTTGGGAAAAATAGTCAGTTTTCATTGCGGTTTCTTTCTGTTTTTTATTTGGTAGAGTTTTTCAAGTTGTTTCGAAAGAAAAAAGAAAAAGGAATTGGTTGGACAAACATTGTCAACTCATGCTTGGTTTAGGATGGTAGTCAACTGCGGAAACTGATGGTGGTACTTGGTTTTGGCAGACATTGGGCGCGTGTGCCTGGTCTAGGATGGATGTCGATCCGTGTCATCTTCAATTAACACTAATTTGTTTATTGGTTTGAAATTGGCATTGTCAAATTTTTATTTTTATTTTTGAAAGTGCACAATAGGGTGGGCATATGGGTCTTTAGACCCGTGGATCTAGACCATATTATCTGGCCCGATGTAAATTCATCTAGTTCTTACTTTTAATTTCAAAACAATCTGAGTTAGACTCTGTTTGTGTAAAAACAAGTTCATATTTTTTATGTACGGTTAACCCGACCTGGACCATTTCAGGGATGTCTTAACACTTGTCATTTTATTAGTGATCCACAAAGAAGTACATGATCTATAATTTTATATCTATCTAACCCTAAGAAGCAAAACAACAATCAAACTTCTACAAACAAGGAGTCTGAAGAGTCCCTTTAGAACATTTATTGGTATTAACTTTGTTAGACGTAATTCTTTTGTAATGGAAACACATAAATATTGTTTTATACTGTTGTTTTGTTATACGACATATGATTGAAAACGAATTCGTTCGACCTGTAGGAGTCTGATCATATCAAACGGATCCAAATGAGCCGATTTCACTAACAAAAATACATAGCCCATACTGACTCGAACTCGTTACAAAAAAAAAAAAAAAAAAAGGAAGGTCAAGTCCAATCTACCCAAAATGAATCCAACTCGACCCACGCCCACCCCTAATTCACTTTCACATAATTGGAATTTAGCATTGGCATCAACATTGGTTCCGATGGATTTTACATTGGAACTGACTTTGGAAATCATCATTAATTTTCTCCTTGGCAAAAATATGAGTTTGACGAGTGTTGAAAAATTATTTTTGTTGTGCTGTGAGATTGGGATATGGAAATGGAAATATTCTTTTGTGTGGTTGAGTCCGACTCTCGTATGTACCAGCAAGGGTGGCAAAAGTGAAATTATAGGAATGGTATGAAGTATAACAAGATGACTAACAAAAGGGGAACTGGGATGACTTGAGTTACGGGGTTAGCTTGTATGATAGAGCATATAGACCACCGCTGCAGTGATAAAATGCATGGTATGGGACATGCAGGTCTGCGTGTTTTATTATATAAATTAACGGGTTGGGTAATTGAAGTTAAGCTACATTCATGGTTTATTAGTTAAATTGTGATTAATGATACACATTTTATAATTGATTACTTTTTGCATGACACTCGGTTTAGCCTTGATAATAATTCTTGATAACATTTATGTCCCTACTGAGTTGTGGCTTTGCTCACCTTATACATTGTAGACCTTGCAGGTTTGGTAAAAAATTAACAAAGGGTAGGCAAGCTGAGGTTGTGTTAGACAAGAGATTTAAGAGTTTTTTATTATTTTTGTACAACCTATAAGGATTTTGGAGTTATTTGAATAAGAGAAGTTTAGTTTTTCTTTTTATTTTATTTTTACTCGCACGCCGGGGGTGGGATTAATTTTTCCACCGACCCTGGGTCCGAGGTGTGACAATATACTTGCCATTTGAAATTTTCATTAAATAAGCACTGTTCACTATGCTTTGAAAAAAAACAAAAAACAAAAAACTTTTTTAGAAGCATGGTAAACTCTGCTTCTATTTTTTATGTTTTTCTACTGTCATTAATAGCAGTTTTTTAAATAAACATTTTTTTTTGTTTTACCAAACATATTTAATATTTCAAATTTTTGAATAAGCTATTTTTTTTCAAAAAACTTATTAAGGACTGAAGCTTGATCCTACTGCACACTATCAGTAGCTAGTGCTCCTTTTTGTTGTAGTGTTGTTGAATGAGAGGCATTCTTTTCTTGATGTGATGAATATTTTCTTAATCGTCTTTTTTAATGCAGAACATATACCAAGAGGTCTCAAGATTAAAGGTCAAACACGAGGCTCTTCAACGTTCACAGAGGTATATATAAAATATAACAATTCAACTTATTAATCAATCATATGATTTTTCTTTTGTGCCATTTTTTCAAACATACAATCAATTCTTAGTCTCACATATTTAGGCATTTGCTTGGAGAAGATCTGCAACAGCTTCGCCTTAAAGAACTGCTTGTTCTTGAGAAACAACTTGACAGAACTCTCTCAAAAGCTAAACAAGAAAAGGTATACACACACGCACACAGAGACAGAACTAGCTCATGTTTCTTAATTCGCAGTCTCTCACATGTTATATATGTTTATAATTAAAGATTCAAAAGTGTTTTACCATGATTGATCATGGCATCTCGATTGCCTTCATCGACCAATGGCTGATCACTCGCAAAAATTACCATCTAGCTAGAAGGACGGAAAATGATAATATTTTCAAAGTTAATTCTTTTGAAGGGTAAAGACACCTTTAGATTTTTGACCAAGAATTAAAAAGAGGTGTAGAATGTTGAGAGTATAAATCTCACGTCCAAAAAAAAAAAAAAAAGAGACCATGCATGCATTTATAAGTAGTTGAACTATTTCCTATTTGTCAATTAGTTTTATAATGAAACTTCAAATTTCTTTTTACAATGATCACACTATATAATTACAAGTATAATATGTTTCACAATCAACATTGTCATAAATTATGTGTATCGTACATTATTGATTTTTCTTCTGTGTTTCTTGATCAACTCCATATATAGACCCTATTATGTATCGATCTTGATTAAGCTATACATATAATCATCACCTAATATTTTATATTGTTATTGTTTCAACATTACCTTTTTTTTATCCTTCTGCTTTTGTATATGTAGACGCGGATGATGTTTAATCAACTAGAGGAACTGCGCAAAAAGGTAAAAGTATATATGTATTTCTAGCATATACCATGCATCCCACGGTCTTCCTATCATATGCGATTTTGTGTCCCCTGACCCCTAATCATGTTGAAGTTGATTTTTTTAACATTATTATGATTAAATATTTCTTCTCGTTCTTCTGTCTTGAAATTTGGTCAAAACTACGTGCATGCAATTCCTTAAAGAGGACTAGATATGTTCGACGTACTTTACAAGTTTGGAAGGGCGATGAAGGGTTTAAACATTTGTTAGAACAATAATAACATTACGTAGGTACACGAAACTCGTCACATTGACGAGATATTCTGTAACATAAATGTAAATTTGTGGTTCTTGTTATGTACATTTCAAAATGAGAGTGTACCTACAAGAAAAACATTCTAATATAAGTGCTAAGAGATGTGATTCTATTTATAAGCGGGTTTTCTAGTAGCGTATAGAATCGGTTATACAATAGAAAATCTTCTAATATGAACGAGGCCATTATACGTTGGACGAGTTACCTCTTAAATAGTTAGTTGACGTGGTATGATAATTAATAACTAGTAGCGTATAGAATCAGTTATACAATAGAAAATCTTCTATTAATAACTAGTTGACGTGGTATGATAATTTTTTTGAATAAATTGACAGGAGAACGATCTTGCAGGGATTAATAAACAACTTAAATGTGAGGTACTTTATATAGTTTATATTCTTGAATTTCCTTCCCCACCATCTAATGGCTTTTGAAGGTCCTACTTCTTGGACCCACATCTAATGGCTACTTTTTTCTATTTTTGGTGTATGGAATATTGTTGAAATTACAGCTTCAAGAAGTAGGACCTTCAAATGCCAATCACGTTACATGTGAAGAACCTACCTTACGATTACACATATGGTAAGCATTTCCTTATTTCTACTTAATTGCACAAACCTTTTAATTAATATCTTTAATTAGGATATAGGATTTTGGTTGTTTTTAACTGCATGCATGGCTTAAATACGGATTATACTAATGTGATTTTTTTTTTCTCGTTGTTTGAGTGGTTTTGTTCACTTCAGTTTTGCATTTTCGATTTGCTACTTTTGCATCTATGTTTTATATTTTGTACACATCTTTGATGTTTACTATTGAATTTTATTTATTAAATACGTAGTTGATTTGGTAAAAAAAATGTTGATGTTACTTGAACATACATAAAAATGGATGTAGATAACATGGGCGTGTACCAGTTCCCCAAGAAAAAGGTAACCACTGATCAAGGGTGGGACTGGGAGGGAGCAGCTGCAACAGTTTGGGCTTCTGTTGATTGCTTGTACAAGTACTACTAAGATATGTTCAGCTCATCGATGTCGGGAACCCTTAGTTATGACTAAGTTGCAGGTGACTAATAATTGTGATTTTCTTTTGTTTTCTTGCACAAAAGAAGAATTTTTAATACCTAAAAAGATTTATCCGCCTCTATTTTTAAGCATACGATTAATTAGGTACATGTTCTTTTTTTTTTTTTTTTTTTTTTTTTTAATCAAAAAGTAGCATTCATTAATCTGAAATTAGGTACATGTTCTATATGCAGATTCATACATTCCTTCATTGACATCCACAACCTCTTAGACCATCTCCAATTGAAGGAGGGTCAAATGACTCACTTTAACCCTAAAGTCATGCAAGAAATTATATTTTAATGAACAATGTCAGGCCATATTTTATATCATCTTTAACTAAGAGGGCCAAATGGTCATAGGCCAAACATAGCTCATTGACAAAAAATCATCCCCAACCGAGGGGGCCAAATGGTCATAGGTCAAACATAATTTATTATTTTAATTGAATTAATATGGTTACTGAAATTAAAATAAGGTTTTCAGACATATTTTGGGTGCCACTTGTCGCCAAATGAATAAGCCTCTGAATTTCTTATCTTTATATAATCTCAATAATTTTTGGATATAATTTCGAGTGACACATGTCGCTAACGTGAGTAACTCTCCAGATTTCTTATCTTTATGTAATCTCAATAATTTTTCGGATAGGATTTCGAGTGCTACGTGTCGCTAAAGTGAGTAACTCTCCAGATTTCTTATCTTTATATAATCTGAATAATTTTTCAGATAGGATTTCGAGTACCACGTGTCGAGATGTAATTGGTTATGCAAATTTTAAATAGGATTCTTATCTACATGATATTTCTTATCTTCAGCTTTCAATGTTGATAAATGGGCTGGATATTGGGGTAGAATTCACACACCTTCATCTTTGTCATCTCCAATATCTCTCTCAATTCAAGTTTGCAATGAATTCCAACTTTGGATCCTCTTCACATTCCAACTGGGGGTCCTTATCCAATTCCGAATTGGAAGATAAATTGACGCAGACGAAACAAGAAGATGAGGAGTCCGATGAAGAAGATGAAGCATGGTGCAACACAACATATATGGCAGTAAGGGCTGGGGTCATGGCGTGTGAGGAAACTGAAGAACAACCTCAATGGGATGGCTCTGTTGCTGGTCACTCTTACAAACCACGAAATAGAGAGATGGCGCATGAGACTTTGACGAATAATTACTTCAACTCCAACTCAGTGTACATAGAAGAGGATTTCAGACGCCACTTTCGGATGAGGCTTCATGTCTTTGAGCGTTTACTTCATGATGCACAACATGGCAATCCATACTTTCTACAGAAAAAGGATAAAGCAGGCCACGCTGGTTTCTCAACTTATCAAAAGGTTACTATTGCACTCCAAATGCTGGCATATGCCTCCCCAGCTGATGCGATGAATGATACATATGGTATGTTTGAGTCTACATGCCTGGATAATCTTGCTGAATTCTGTCACACAGTTGTTCAGATTTACAAAGAAGAGTACCTCGGTGAACCAAATCAAGCAGATCTGGCTCGGCTCTTTCGCAAAGTTGAAGACCGTGGCTTTTTGGGCATGATAAGGTCCTTAGATTGCATGCATTGATAGTAGAAGAACTGTCCCACCATATGGCAAAGAGGATTTAGCGAAAGATTGAGAAAGTCAACTATTGTGTTAAAGGTGGTTGCCTCATTTAACACATGGATCTGACATGCTTTCTTTGGAGTCCCAAGATCCCAAAATGACATTACAATACTTGGGCGTTCACCCCTTTTTAATAACCTGACGGATGGTAAACCACCTTAACTTGACTACTACATCAACGGGCGTCAATCCAAATGGAGTATTACTTGGCAGATGACATCTACCCAAAGTGAGCAACATTTGTCCAAGCAATTGCAAGCCATGTGGATGATGCCCAAAGGTGGTTTACCATACACCAAAAGGCATACCGGAAAGATGTTGGGAGAGCTTTAATATTCTACAAGCATGGTGGAAGATCATTAAGGAACCGGCAAGAGGGTGGAGTCGAGATAAAATTGGACTCCATCCTGATGTCGTGCATCATATTACACAACATGATTGTGACAACCAAGATGATCCAAATAGGTCAAGAAGGACTTGTGCGAAAATATATGATGGGCCTAATTTGTCTTGGGATCCAAGAACTGGTTATATTGAAGGGAAAATATGAGATTTATGTGGGATTTCTAGTGACTAGCATGCATATACAATTCAAAATTTATATACGAAAGCAACGGAAGCATGTCATACATTTTATCAAAGCTATAGTCATGCAAATCCCCTTCAAGATGCATAGGTTTATATAAGATGCATCAAAAACAATTTATTGAAGAACAAAGTTTAGGAGTAGTTTTGTACCTCTTGATCTAGATCTAAGACCAAGGATTGACCACCTCCAAGCTCTTTGCTCCTTGAACTCCTTGAGCCTAGCCTCCCTCCTTGCCTCCTCCACTTTGTTGAGAATGAGTGCTCCTAGGTCCTCTTCAAGTTTCCAAAGATATGAAAACCTCTAAAGATCCTCACCCACTTTGTAATGAGAAAGATGAAGGAATTAACCAAAGGGTGATAAGATGATTAGCTAGAATTCCCTTTGGTGGCCGGCCCTTTTTAAGTTTGAGAGAGAATGATTTTATTTTCTTTTGTGTATTATGAACCACCTAACACACTCACACACACTTTCATTATATTATGTTCCTTTTATTTCTTAAAGAAACAAATCAACAATTGACTTACTTTCTCTCCCTTCTCATATGGCCGGCCTATTGTGTTTAATTTGGGCTTTGGGCTTTTAATTATTTCAAGTCATCCAATGCTTGAATAAAAGCCCAATGGGTTTTGGCCCAATGGGCCCGATTAAACCCGAACGTTTCTTTAAGCCCAAAACGATCTTTATCGCTTTTATGATTTCTTTAGACTTTCTAAATTAATCAAAACACTTAATTAATCCAATTAATTATTTCCTTCATCCATTAGTTACTCACTACAAGAGTGTATCGGTGAACAATCTTTTAGGTTCTAATTAGCAAGGCAGTGAGGTGATTGGCACCAATCCAATTGATTATCCAATCACTTAGTGATTTAAAACTTACTTTTAATTCACCTTCCTTTTAATGACTACATTTAATCATCTAGAAGAACTCACAAGCCATGAGTGACATCTAATCATATATCATGGCTACCCAAGCTAATGTAGAAGTTATTCGGAGAACCTATTCAGTTGGAATTACAATGTAATTCGATCCTTCTCTAAAACAATACTCTCAATCACATTACTAGGGTATGGATTTATAATGTCAAACCCCTAATGTGATTATTCCTTCTTATACGATTCATTTGAGACGTATAGGAACGCTTTCCTTTATTACGCTCGATACTTCGGCCGAAGATTCCCGAATCATATCTTAGAGTATTCATCCTCTCTTATCGAAGATTAGAGATTCCTTGTTGCGCATTCACTTGCCTTCATGGCTAAGTGGCTTAACCCCAACGATGCCTTGGACACTCTCGAATGGAATGACTTTAACATAATCAAAGATTAAGTACTTAACCACAAGACAACGAGATGCCTCAGGTCAAAGGATTACTTACATTATTCCAACCATTAGAGTTACTTGCTTGACATGTGAGTAGACCTCCATGCAAGTACTCTCGTTCGATTGTGTTCAGTGAACTCATTCCCTTAATGAGCACCTACATGCTTGTCTTAGTGTCGCTACACGAATGGGATGAGACTTTCCATCCTTCCAATTGAAGCGGACATAGTATGTACCAGTCTATGGATTGTCAGTATCCCTCCGACAATCCTTATGACCAGGAACCTTTTTGGACATGATGGTTATGAGAAGAAGGTCTCTGTAATCTAACATCATTAGGTTACTTCTTCCATCGATCCATTGTCCATGGATTCACTATTTAGGACATATTTCGTTCATTGAGATAGTCCCAATTAGTATCTTTGCCTTCCGATGTATAAGAGTCATATATACATCAATTCATTGTCCTGAAAGGTTTCTTCCAAAGATTGACTTTCAGGGCATATTTCCAACAATCTCCCACTTGCACTAAAGTCAATCACTAGTGTATCTTATACATCCAACAATCTCCTTCTCTTATGCTCGTAGGTTAACTTGGTTATGTATTTAATCGCCTTTTAATTTAAAAGGGATTTACTTATCAAATGTTTCTAAAACATTTTGATGATGTCTCTTTCTTGTGTTCGAATACTTTGATGAGACCTTGATTCCATGGCTTGAGCTATCGCCCCATTACGTCGTAGTATCCTACTAACGACCTTATGGTTTGGATTCAATCATTGGTTCTAAAAGAACCCCTTCCATTCAAAACACCTTTTGAAGCAGTTTCTAAAACAATATATCGATATATATATTTCGTTTGTATACTTTATACAAACTTTGCTCCAACCTTGAGACCATTGTAGTACGATACTAACAATACATTCATATGATTAGTACTTCATCCATTATGAAGTTCCATTTGTTAAAATGGGTTATTTTCACTTTGGTTCGTAACCTAAGTGAATGCACGCTTCCAAAGTCCCACTTTGATGTTCCTTTCTAAAAGGCAATAATACTCTATCAGTTGCTTTGGTTCTGATCCTGGGATATAGTAATATCTTAAAGTGATAACCCATGGTCTTTCACTTTTGGATATCTACTCACAAGTCCATACATGTGTCCCTTTTGTGATTTTATGACACATATGAAAATGATTTTCTATCATATAAGAAAATTTTATGATTTGAACCATGAGGTGACGGATTTGAATTGTCTTGTTGTTAAACTATATGTTGTGACTCATTTTGAAACTATTCCCTTTTGTTTCATCAACTTGTCCATATGCTTTGTTATTAGCTTGTTCTCATAAAAGAGAATGATGGACAACTTCCAACATATAACCATTTTATGCTAGGTTGACGAAACCAACATTCAAAGACTATTCTTTAGAATGTTACACAACATAGATTTTTAACGTTTTGAAGAGCTTGAGTCTTTTAACAATTTAAAATTTCAAACTCTTAATAATAGTCAAATACTATTATTATTTAGACAACTATAAACCAATCATATTCAAGTTTATATTCATTTTAACACCTCCCACTATTTCTTATGACTTTAATGAGAAATGATTTCATACATTCAAAAATGTATAAACGTGGAATGTACGAGTAGAGGACATTGTGTAGTAGCTTTAAAACCTTTCAAGCTCATCTGTTTCAACCTTCATTAAGTTGATGCCTTGTTATTAAGTGATTAAAATCTTTAAACCTTTTATAGATTTAGACACTTCTTTCTTGGTTTTAATCACTAACACACTTAACATTTTAAAACAATTTTAAGAATGCCCAATTAGTTGTTCAAAACTACTAATTGAATCAAGAGTGACCTTGATTATTGTGTTTTAAGTGATAACCCTAGAAAACGTTTTTCTTATTACTTATATCATTATAATGTGATATAAATCTTGTATCTCAACTAGGATACAACAAGACAATATTCAATTCATAACACTACTTTAAGGAAATAATATATTAGAAGGCATTCATCACATTACATTAATATGATAACACAAACATTCACAATGTTTAACTTAAAAGGAATTAGCTCTAAACATTTAGAGACTTATTTAAGTACCTTCAAACATTTAGGCATTAATAGTGGTCTTCCATCATATGAAGCCACATAATAAGTTCTTAACATAATAAGAAAGTTTAAAGACAATCTTTAAATGCCTAAACAAACTTCCCAAGTAGTAAGCAAAATCATGGTGACCGAACCCTTCTTCACTCTTTTATTTGCTTGTTCCTCTTCTACTTAGCTCCTCCACCTATATACATTTATACAAGTGATTAGCACTTTATATCAAATATAAATATTTAGAAGATCTAACAATTAGAATTGAAGATGAGAACATAAACCATACCTTGTGGCTTGTCCTTAAGAGTTGCAAGGTAAAACTTGCAATTCCTCCTCCAATGCCCCTCCTTTCCACAGTGGTGGCAAGTCCCCTTGGGCTCCATTTCCTTTTTCTTTTTCTTCACTCCTCCTTTTGGCTTAGGAGTGGGAGACTTTATCTCCTTCCCCTTTCCTTTGCCATACGGCTTAGGATTGGAAGAGGATGGCTTGTTGTAGGCTACTGCAACAGTCCCTACAACGTTCTCTTTCATAGTCTTCTCAGCAGTTACTAACATGTTTAGTAACTCAGAGAGAGTACTATCTATTTTATTCATATTGTAGTTCATTACGAACTGTGAGAATGAATCAGAAAGAGAAGCCAATATAAAGTCCTGGGCCAATTCCCCGTCAAGTGGAGTACCTAGGTTCTCCAGTTGTTCAATGAATCCTATCATCTTCAGTGCATGTAGATGCACTGGAGCCCCTTTGACCATCTTGGTCTTCACAAGTTCACAAACAGTGTTAAAGCGACGGTTGCGCGTCCCTTCACCATATAACTCCGTAAGATGGAGTATTATGGAAAATGCACTGTCCATGCCCTCGTGCTGTCTCTGTAGCTCCTCATTCATGGAGGCCAACAGATAGCACTTGGCTTGTGTATCATCCTCAACGTGCTTGTCATACTTAGCACGTTCATCCTCTGTGGCCTCAGGGCCAAGAGGTATGTCAGGAAGAGGCTTATCAAGTACGTAAATAATCTTCTCCAACGTTAGGAGAATCTTGACATTACGATACCATGATGGGAAATTGTGCCCCTCTAGGCAATGTTTGTCGAGTATTTTCGCGAATGTGCTTCCAACCATATCTAAATACATAAACAATAAAATAAATTAGTTTGATTGTTGATTAAGTCACACGATTCGGGTCTTTAAACCGAATGACACCACCCACCATTTTTGGCAAATTCCATATCCCTCAAGATGGAATCCGGGAGATTTCAAAGAAAGCTCCTAGCAGGTTATAGGAGGCTCACTATTACCAAGCCCACCTCACGATGATACGATGTTGGCTAGCAAAAATAATAATGAGAGGGTACACTTACCCATTTACAACTCTTGTAATTACCCATCTAGTTTGGCCTCTAGAGAATGTTGCCTCACGATGATACGATGTTGGCATTATTGCACTTAGTTAAGTTATTCCCACCATGCTTAGTTCATGTAGGGGTTCAAGAATA